GGGACGCATGTGGACACCGCCACTGGGGCCTTCGGTGGAGCTCCCTGTGGTGATGATGACGACGACGAAGTCATGCGGAGGGCAGAGGCAGGGATGGGAGGAGGGAGGAGGGGGAGGAGGAAGGAGAGGAAGGAAGCAAGGAAGGAAGGAAAGAAGGAAGGAAGGAGGGAGGGAAGGAGGGAACGCAGGGACCGTCTCTTCAAAACGAGAGCCCAACATCACAGGATGGTTGGGAAAAATTAACCTGGCGAAGAACCCAACCATATGCAGCTGTGAGTACCACAATTGTGGGCATCGTCTCCTGTGGAGCTCCCTATGGGCCACGAAATGCCGTGTTCGGCGGGGGTGACGCACTGGGGCTTTCGGCGGGGCAACCTATAGGGCCACGAAACGCTGTGCTGATTGGGGGGGATGCATGAACTGTTACACTGGGGCCTTCGGTGTAGCTCCCTATGAGGCCACGGAACGCCGTGCCGGTTGGGTGGGACGCATGTGGACACCGCCACTGGGTCCTTCGGTGGAACTCCCTATGGGGCCACGAAGCGTTCTACTGAGTGGGGGGGACGCATGTGGACAACGCCACTGGGGCATCTGGTGGAGCTCCGTATGGCGCCACGAAGCTTTCTACTGGGTGGGAAGACGCACGTGGACACCGCCACTGGGGCCTTCGGTGGAGCTGCCGATGGGCCACCGGAGCGTTGCACTGGGTGGGTGAGACGCATGTGGACACCGCCACTGGGGCACTCGGTGGAGCTCCCTATGGGGCCACGAAACCCTGTGCTGGCTGGGGGAGACGAATGTGGAAATCGCCACTGAGGCACTCGGTGGAGCTCCCCATGGGGCCACGATGCGCGTCGCTGAGTGGGAAAGGCGCACGTGGACACCGCCATTGGGGCCTTCGGTGGAGCTCCCTATGGGGCCACGAAGCGCTGCACTGGGCTGGGGAAGCGCATGCACGTGGACACCGTCACTGGGGCATTCGGTGGAGATCCCTATGGAGCCACGAAACGCTGTGCTGGGTAGGGGAAGCGTATGTGGACACCGCCACTGGGGCAGTCGGTGGAGCTCCCTATGGGGCCACGAAGCGCTGTGCTGGGTGGAGAAGACGCATGTGGACACCGCCACTGGGGCCTTAGATGGACCTCTTTACGGGGCCCCGAAACGCAGTGCCGGGTGGGGGGGGCGCATGTGGACACCGCCGCTTGGGCCTTCGGTGAGGCCCCCGGTGGAGCCGCGGGGCGCTGCGCTGGGTGGGGGAGACGCATGTGGACACCGCCACTCGCGCTTTCTGCGGAGCTCCCCATGGGGACCCGAAGCGCTGAAATGGGTGGGGGACAAGCATGTGGACACCGCCACTGGGGAATTCAGTGGAGCTCCCTATGGGGCCACGAGACGCTGTGGGAGACGCACGTGGACACCGCCACTGGGGCATTCGGTGGAGCTCCCTATGGGACCACGAAACGCTGCGCTGGCTGGGGGAGACGCATGTGGACACCGCCACTGGGGCATCTGGTGGAGCCCCCTATGGGGCCACGAAACGCCGTTTTGGGTGTGGGACAATCATGTGGACGCCGCCGCTGGGGCAGTCGGTGGAACCCCCTTATGGGGCCACGAAACTGCGTGCCGGGTGGGGGAGGGGCACGTGGACACCGCCACTGGGGCATTCGGTGGAGCTCCCTATAGGGCCAGATCATCAGGGCGACCACGAATAATAGAATCACGAGCGGCTCGGGCTGCTTCGATCATTATGTCTTTTTGAAGAGCGAGTTCGAATCGATGGGGAGAGTTCTGACATGTCCACCCGGTCTAAGATCTTCGAGACATTTGCTGCAAACTCAGGGCGGCGGAAGATATCAGCAGGCACGGCACGGTTTTGAGGCTTCATCTGTTTCCTGGGAGCCACCGTGCACGAGATCCCCACGTGGTCAGACAAGTTAGTGGCGTAGAGTACTTCAGGGAGTCCATGAACGCGCGCGCCTGTGCAAGACTGCGCCACACACCGCCCTGGCAGAGAAACGAACAAGCGGTCGATATCCCACCAGCCCTCTGGGCGTAGGTGGTCTAGAGCAGATCCTCTTCCACCCCTCCCTCTTCCCCCTTGGGGAGGGGTTTACCCCTCCCCCTACCCCCTCCCCTGGACCTGGACGGGGGGGGCCGCGGGTAGTTAGAGCGTCCCAGATGGCCCAAGACGGCTCCAAGAGCGCCTCAGAGAACCCAAGATGAGCTCCAAGATGGCTCAAGATAGCGCAAGATCGCTCGAGATGGCTCCTAAGATGGTTCCAAGAAGCCCAAAGACGGCCCCAAGATAACTCCAAGTGGCCAAACAGCTCCCCAAGGAGGCCCCGAAGAGGCCAAAATCGTCCCAAAACCTAAGGAAAATCAATGATTTTTGCTTTCTCGCCTTTTCGCTTCCGATGGCCATCCGAGGCCTGGAGATGGCTCCAAGATGGCCCAAGAGGGCCCCAAGAGAGCCCCAAAAGAGCCCCAAGACGGCCCCAAGAGCGCCCAAGAGCACTCCAAGAGCGTTCCAAGAGGGGTCCAAGAGGCGATTTTAGGGGCTTCCGAGGGGGGGCGCTAATTGAACCCCCCCTCTTGTTTGATCGACTCCCTCCAAGATGGCCCCAAAAGCGCCCCGAAGGCTCCCCAGAGCGCCTCAAGAGGGTCCCAAGAGGCGCCCAAGATGCCCCAAGGCGCCCAAAAAGCCCTCCAAGAGGCCCTCAAAAGACCCCCAAGAAGCTCCTTCCCCTCCTCCTCCTCCTCCTCCGATTCTTCCTCCTTTCTCCGTCCTCCTCCTCCTCCTCCTCCTCCTCCTCCTCCTCCTCCTCTTCCTCCTCCTCCTCCTCCGACGACGACGACGACGACGACTCCTCTTCCATCCTCCCCCTCTCGGGGTCTGTGACAGCTTCCCCCGCCCTTTGTTATTCTGCATGCTCCCCGACTTCCCTGATCACCTCAACTCCCCTGAGCATCGTTTCTGGATGGGCTGGTGGGGATACGCGAAGCGTCAACAATTGCTTAGAGTCCCTTGCGCAGCATGAAAGTGAGTCGGTTCGTTAAGCTCGATTGCGCACATCTTCCTGAAACACCGATTCCACCCCAGGTTCCTGGAAAGCCGCCAGTCACGATTGTGGGAGTGCGAAGTCGAAGAAGCCCTGGATGCTGCGATGGGTGGGGCTCCACCACGATTAAAGTCGCCACCTACGAGCACGAGGATTTCCATGGGGTTCACTCGGGCCAAATCGAGGTCCTGGGAGATAGCCTCTAAGATGTAGTCGCGTTCGGCACGCGACAACCCAAAATCCCACCAGCCCTTTGGGCGTGAGTGGTTTAGGGAGCTCTCTCTGTCCTCAACCCCCTTTTTTCCCCTTCGGGGAGGGGTTTACCCCTCCCCCTACCCCCTCCCCCTGGGCCTGGAGAGGGAGCCCCGCGGGTGGTCAGGGTTTTTTTTTCGACTCCTGGGAGGGCCAAAAAACGACGACCCTCACGAGGATTCTGGCCCCGTCGGGGGGATAGAGAAAAAACCCTCTCCTCTTCTGTGAAGCCAAAATCATTGATTTTACTACGGTGTTGGCCCCATTTTGGCCTTCTGAAGGGGGCAGCGCTCCTCTTCCGTGTTCTCAAAATCATTGATTTTACGAAGGTGTTGGGCTCATTTTGTCCTTCTCAGGGGGTAGCGCTCACTTGCGCTTCTGAGGAGGTCGCAAGAAGCCCCCAAGAGGCCCCAATATGCCCCCAGGAGGCTCCCAAGAGGCCTCCAAGAGGCCCCCAAGAAGCCCCCAAGAGGCCCCCAGAGGCTCCCAACAGGCCCCCAAGAGGCTCCCACGAGGCCCCAAGAGGCCCCCAAGAGGCTCCCAAATGGCCCCCAAGAGGCTCCCAAGAGGCGCCCAAGAGGCCCCAAGAGGCCCCCAAGAGGCTCCCAAGAGGCCCCACGAGGAGCCCGAACGACTCACACCAGGACGAGGGGCCCGAACGACTCACACCACGAAGAGCCCGAACGACTCACACCACAAGGAGGGGCCCGAACGACTCACACCAGGACGAGGCGCCCGAACGACTCACACCACGAGGAGCCCGAACGACTCACACCACGACGCGGGCCCCGAACGACTCACACCACGAGGAGCCCGAACGAGTCACACCAGGAGGAGGGGCCCGAACGACTCACACCAGGATGAGGGGCCCGAACAACTCACACCACGAGAAGCCCGAACGACTCACACCAGGACGAAGAGCCCGAACGACTCACACCACGAAGAGCCCGAACGACTCACACCAAGAAGAAGGGCCCGAACGACTCAGACCAGGACGAGAAACCCCAAACGACTCAAACCACGAGGAGCGCTTTCTCTCCCTCCTCCTTCGCCTCGTCCTTCACCCGCTCCCCCCACAAGGAGGATGTACAAGGAGGCGAGAGGAAGGAGGAACAGGGGAGATGTGCGGGGCCCAGCGGACACACGCCTGAAAAAACACGACTGTCGGCATGCTTCGCGAGAGTTGCTGCTGTGAGATGGGCTGGTGGGGATACGCGAAGCGTAAAGAATTGTGAATGTTGCACTGAGTAATCAGAGTCCCATCTGAAAACTGGATCCGAGCATTCAAGGCCCTCCCCGTCGCAAGAATACGGCCTTCGACAGTGGGAGCAGGCCACCCTGCCACCCCTTGAAACTTCGGGGCGAAGGTGACAACACCACCAGCAGTCCGTAGCGCCGTTAGGTTCGGGAGGGAAGAACGAGTGAAGAGCGAAGACGGGGAGGTGGAGCCGATAGATCACCCCCTGGATCTCGGTCGCCGCCCCGTGGACCTCCTGGACACCAATAATAGCCCCAGGGCCGACCAACTGCTTTAAGTACTGGCATCTTCGGTCCCGAACTTGACGCGAATGAAAGTTCAAAACCCGAGCGTTCCAAGACCCGAAGAGGATAGGCGGGCGGGGGGGGTGCTGGCGGCACCATGCCGCAAAGATAATGTTAAACCCACTGTACGGGTTCAGGCCCTGACACAACGCTGGCGATGCTCTGCAGGATCGCGCCCTTGTCGGCGCCCTCGTCGACCAGGTTCTTCCGGGCCCACTTGACCTCGGGCGGGATGTCCCCAGGCTGGGGAAGGATGGAAATGATCGGCTTCCAGCCGATGCTGATGGCACCTTTGAGCTCGTTGCCGAAGAACCACTTCCGGGGGCATGCCTCCGCGCAGGCGTTGCAAACAGTTTTGACCAGCTGCTCTGTCTTAATCTGGCATGGAGACTTGTCCGCATCGATGAACATCTCAACTCGGGCTCCGAGCGCGCCTACCACATGGTGGCGAAGCCAAGGCCCGCCGGGCTCACGGAGCGAGCCCAGCATCTGCGCGACTTTCCTCGAGGCAAAACCTTTGGCCCCCAGGGCGCGAACTTGGATGCGGGAAGCGGCAGGCAGACCTTCGAACCGAACGGCACTTTCCTCCATGCTGTTGCGCTCCAAGATGGGCTTGAATGCGGCATTGAAAGCTTCGATAGTTGCGAGCGACTTGGCTCTCGCCACCAGCACAGTGCCGTCGGGGGCGCGGTCGAACTGGGACCTGTCGGTTGGTGGTGGGCTGCGGCGGCGCGTCGGACTGGAGCACACCCACCGTCGACGTAGTTCGGCGAGCTGTCGCGCATGATCTGCGAGCTGTTCGTCGCGCCCTGCGACTCGATATTCAACTGCAGCGCAACGCTTCCCCACTTGGCTGGCCAGTGAGTTGCATGAACGTCTGATGGCCTCTCCCAAGCCACCCACTGACTTCTGCACGGATGATGCCATCATATTTTTGGCTTGCTCGAGGGCGGCCAACATTGATGCTTGTGCGTCGTCGTATGCCTTGACCTGGGCTGTGTTGGCGTCTCCTGGCAAGAAAGCGAAGTCGTCGTCGTTGTCGCCACCACACATGCGAGGACGTTTAGGATCAGACGAGCGGCGGCGCGTCTGGCTGGGAAAGGTCGGCATGGCCTCGATCTGTTCGGCCAGGATGTTGTTCGTTGCGTTGGCCATTGCTCCGCAGTTCTGCGGGTAGATCTGCACCCTCGAGGAATGGTTGCCGCAATGAACTGTGCGTGCTGGGGTGCACGTCTGCTAAGCGTCGCCGTGGGCCCTGGGCCCCAAACCAGTCTGGGCCAGACCGGCCACGGAGGGGTCCAAAGCTAATCGCTGGTTCTCGGGCGTCTATAGCCCTTCACAACGTTTAGCCTTGAGCCAAAATGGCTACGGACCTCCTCCTCCTCCTCCCCTTCCTCTTCCCCCCCCCCCCCTCCTCCTCGGCCAGTTTGCGCCGAGCCGCCTTTGTGCCTGCAGAGAGGCGGGGCGGTGCTAGGGGGCGCCAACTTCAAAGTGGCACTGCGCTCTCGAGCTGATTTATGGCCCAACGATCCAAGTCGCGGGATGGAGGCTGGGCGCGCAGCGGCTGCAAAGCTCGGAACGGGGCAGGCTACGACTTCTGCTGGAAGTGCTGGAAGGTTCGAGACTCCGCGAAGACCACGAAACACGGTGCGACCAGCACCCAGGATGATGCTGACGCCGACGACGCCACCAAAGCGAAGCTCAAGAAGTTACGGGTGCACCTGGCAGAACTTCGGAAGCACGCGGGGGACCCAGACTTGGCAAAGCACGCCCAGGGCAATATCGACATCGTACAGAAGGAGGTTGATGAGTTGCAGGCAGCTGTCGACAACGGCAGCGACATCCCCCGTTGTTTCTCGGAGTGCAAGCTCGTGCGAGAAAGGAACAAAACGCAGGCACAGCGGGAGCGCACTCAGGAGCGCGTCGAGAAGCTGGAGGAGGAAATCAAGGAGGCCCAAGAGAAGCTTGAGAAAGAGAAAGCACTCCTGGCCAGACAAGACGAGAAGCTGCAGAAGCAGAGAGCCCGCATCGAGGAGCTCAGCGTGCCCAAGGCGGGCAAGGGCTGGGGAGCGGCAGTGTCCTTCCTGGAGCAAGCGAAGAAGTGCCTGCGCGAGCAGGAGACCGACACCAAGATCGCCGAAGCCCTCAAGCACGCGCAGCAGCAGCACACCGTCGAGGAGGAGCGGGCTGCCGCGGCAGCAGCGGCAGCAGCCGCCAAGAGGGGGGCCGACGCAGCCCGCGAGGCCGCCCAGGACAAGCAGCAGAGGAACAAGCGCAGACCCGAGGAGGAGATCAAGCAGGAGCCGGTCTCGTTCCCCCTGAACGCCGACCAGGCGCAGATCACCGAGATCACGCACGAGGCGGGCTGCGCGGCCGAGCAGATCGAGCGCCACAGGCCTCATCTTCTTCCTCTGCTGGCTGGCATGCAGCCAGACACATCGCTCACCATCAGCAAGAGTATGTGGACGGCCCCGCCGTCACCCTGACAAAGAGCGAGGGCAGGGGCTGAGCACCATCAGCGCGAACCCCACTGGCACGCTGGAGCGCACCATGCGGGCCACCAGGTACATGCGCAAGTATCACACGGGCATGGCAAAGGAGCTGCAGGCCAACGAGCACAGCATCTCCTGCGTCAACCAACGGATGCAGAAGGGGGGCTGGGGGCTGGGCAACGCGCCGAGCGTCCGCGCCGCGCGGGGAGGCTGGAGGGCGCAGCTGCCCCTGGCAACCGTGCGGCCAAACAACATGAGCTACGTCACGGGGCCCGACACGAGGGACGACCCGCCCTGCGAGTCCAAGGGCTGCCTGGGGAAGGGCAGGATGAAGGCTGTCGGCAAGGAGGGGGCCAACGCAGGCGCGGCGCACCTCTGGGACAGCGAGGGCACCCCGCGGAACTTCACCACGGCCACCACAGGGGCGGGAAAGTACTGGATCCAGGGCAACGACGTCGACATGGACCCAGCTGAGCTACAGCACACAGGGGTGAACAACAGGATGGAAGGGGTCATCGTGTTCGACACTTCGCGCGGCTCGTGCGTCACATTGGGGGAGACACGGTGCCGCGACCACTTCATCATGGGCAACACGTACGAGGAGCACTCCAGGAAGTACTTCAACTACGTCGGCCAGGACGGGCAAGAGGGCAAGAGCCACCTGGTTCGCGCCCAGAACAACGCCAAGGGTACCCTTGGGAATGACATCATCGAGCCGCCCCTCGAGCGGGACTACCTAGCATGGCGGGCGGTGCCAAATCAGGGGGAGGGCAACGTAGACGCCATGGACGAGCAGGGGAACCCCAACAACCTGGACGAGTTAAGCTACACAGGGTGCCGAGTCGAGGGGGGCAACACGAGCCTCCCAGAGAATGCTCCTCGGCGGGCCCCCGCTGTCCTCGGCCTCACGGCTTCGCAGGACTGCCCGTTGGTCGGGGCGAAAGCGGCAAGGGGGCGCCGCCGACCGACGGGGCGGGGGCGACGCACGGACATCGATTGGGGCAGGGTGGCGATCACAGCAGCCTGGATCGACGCCGAGCGCATCACCCAGAGGGGCTTGCACCACGTGGACAGCGCGACCAAGCTCATGTGGGAGACCAACCGCATGCCCTACGCGAGGCGTTGGGAGGCGGCTGGCAAGCGAGCCCATGACTGGGCAAGCCGAGGGAGATCGCGGGGACGCGCGGCCCGACCACAGGCCCTCCACTGCGAGGCTGCGCGGGCCGACGGGCACCGCCACGAGGGGACCTACTTCGGCCTGATCAAGAGCTTCGAGTGGGTTACTCAGCGGAAGGTATGGGAGGCGTCGCAGAGACGAGGCGACAACGCAAGCATCATGCGGACGGAACGCAAGATGTACAGCATAGGGCGGCACAGCGTCCTGGGCGGGGGCTACACCGAGGGCAAGGCTGGGCAGCGGGGCATCGAGGCGGACAGCTGGCACATACCGTTCGGTCGCCAGACGGTCATCATCCTCGAGCTGGACAGGCTGGCGCACCAGGATTGCTGGGCGAACGCGCCCCTCCACGTCGGGGACCGCGCTGCAACCACGCACGGCAGGCACGAGCACGTCGGCGAGGGCCACCCGCAGGCCATCGCCGCCGTGAGCTCCAGGATCGAGACGGCCCTGGACATGGCGGTCTCAAGCGGCACGGAGGCGAAGACGGTCACCCTGGCCTCCTCCGCTGCGGGGAGAGACCGCAACAACAAGAAGACCAGGTACCTCAGCGCGAGAGTAGTCAAGCACGAGAAGCACCTGGGAGGGACTGCAACAGCATGCAGACGGAGTAGAGTGGCCGCCATCAACAAGCGGGCGCCGAAGTTTGCAGAGAAGACGGCACGGGTGACAGCCGTGCGCAGAGCGGGAGGAGTGACATGCAAGCTGGGCGGCTCGAGGCAGTTCGGCGATTACGCACCGCGGAGACGAGGGGGAATCAGCCCCACCAAGCTCAAGGACAACGGTGAGCACGACATGGACGACGGGGGCTACGGGTCCCGCCCTGGCGCGCCGAGGGCCCAGAGCATCTCGGGGGGAAGATCTACGCGCGGCGGCAGGCGCTGCAGACAGGCACCCCGCCCATGTTCATCTGCACCGACAGCGAGAACGTCAACGACGGCGTGATGGCGGGACCGTCATGGCTCGACAAGAGGGAGCCACCTGCACCTCGACCACTGGGAGTGCATCCGTCGTCCAGGCCGTCGCAGCGTGCGGAGGCTTGGGCCCACGCACCGTGCAGGTGCAAGGGCTGAAGGCCCACGCGACGCGCGCCGAGCGAGCAGCAATCGGCAGCGCGCAGTGGGAGGGCAACAAAACAGCTGACCATGCAAAGCAGGGGGGCTCTGTACCATACTCGCTCAGTCTGGTGTAGAGGAATCCACAGTCTGAAGTATCGGCGGGCTCGAGACCTCCTGGAATTCGGAGCCTATGTAGGCTGCCTGGGCCATCGCATTGTCGACGCTGAACAGGGCTCGGGTCCGACGGATTCGAACCCCCCCGGCCCCCCCTCCGTCCTCCTGGACCTTCCCGGGAACCTGGGGGCGGTCGGGTGCGTGTGGGGTAGGGCCCTGGCGGCCCCCGACCCCACCGCCCCGCCCCTGGTGGCGCTCCTCCTGTCTCGGGCCGTTCTGGACTGGGGGTGCACCAGGGTCGACAGGGGCCAGAGAGCGGGGCACAAAATCGTGACCCGTAGCATTCAAGTCTTCTGCCGCAAGTGTACCAGATACGCCCGCGACAGGTGGACGGGCCGTTTCTACCCACGCAGCCCTGGGGCCCAAAGGGGGATCGGGGGTAGGCCGACACGGTTGTGGAATGGACAGCACCCTTCCACAAACCAGCCCCTGTAGGGGCTCTCGGAGCTGAGGGTCTAGCTCGGGGACGGCCCGAAGCGGCCCGACGCTCCCACGGCACGAAAGCGTAGGCGGTCGTGATCCGTTTTGGCCCGCACTCATCCGCACTCATCCTCCTCCTCCTCCGCCCGCCCGCCCGCCCGCCCGCCCACCCACCCGCACGCCCGCCTGCCCTCCCTCCATCCCTCCCCTCTCTTTCCAATTCCCTCCCTCCTTCCCCCTCCAACCCCCCTCCTGATCATCCTCGGAAGATGATCAGGAGGGGAGTGGGAGGGGGAAAGAGGGGGGGAAGAGGGGGTGGGGGATGAGGAGGATGATCCTTCTCTTTATCCTCCTCCTTCCTCCCCCCCTTTTTTCGTCCCTCCCCCCCACCCACTTCTGCTGTTCCTGGCGAAGACGCCGACATCCGCGCCGACGCCGACGACGGCGGCGACAGCGGCAACGGCCAGCGACCAGCGACCAGCGACGGCGGCGGCGGCCAACGGCAGGCGCCCGACAGGGGGCCGAAAGACCGAGGGCCACGCATGCAGCTCAGGCTGCCGCCGATGGAGTCCTGCTTCGACTTCACCTGCGGATGGCGCTCGGCGGTGGCGTTCCCAGGGGGGGGAGCAGGTGCGAGGAGGCGGGCCTCCCCAGAGGGAGAGGCAGGGCTTCTCGGGAGCCCTCCCGCGTTCTGTGAACCCGGGGGGGGAGGGGGAGGAGGAGGAGGAGGGGGGAGGGGAGGAGGAGGAGGAGGAGGAGGAGGAGGAGGAGGAGGA